ATGGCCATACAGTCCCTTGAGTCTGCTCCATCAGTTAAAGAGATCATGGCTGATCTTCTACCTCAAACAGACATTCCTACACTGTGTTCTACTCCTTGACTTTCTCGATGCTGAAAAATTGCCCAATTATATTGTTGAATGTATATTCAATAACTGAGCACCCAGATGCTGATTAGAGTGTTCCAAAGGTTCCTAGTTATAGAACATTCCTACAAACCCTTAACTACGTGCTGTGGTGAATCCACTTCCTAATAACGAAGTCTAAATTACATACTGTTCTCAAACAAATGAGAAATATGGTATCTGAATTTCAGTGCCTGTGTATTGCCAGTTACATGGGTTGTACATTTCAACAACTGATGAATTCCATCAACAGCACATCCCTTCTGTAAATTGACTGTACTTAACCAGCCCATGCTTGTGAAATGCAGAATTTAATAACGTTTGATGTAATTCCACATTTAGTCTGACTGTTAATCCAGAGACCCAGTTCTGAGGACTCCGGTTCGAATCCCACCACGGCAGATGATGGAATTTGAATTCAATAAATATCTGGAGTTAAGAACCTAATGATGACCATTAATCCATTGCCGATTGTCAGAAAAACTCATCTGGTTCACTAATGTCCTTTAGGGGAGGAAACTGTCACCCTTACCTGGTCTGGCCTACATGTGACTCCAGACCCACAGCAATGTGGTTGACTCTTAAATGCCCTCTGGACAATTAGAGATGGGCAATAAATGCTGCCTAGCCAGCGACACCCTCATCCCGTAAATGAATAAAGAAGTCAGCACTTGGTGAACAATCCCAAGTGTGCTAATAATTACAATTAAAAACAACTCAAGATTCTCAGTCAGACTCACAATTTGGCTCACTAACCCTTGACCAAAAATGTATATATACATACGTCAGAATCTGTCCCCTCTAAGTTCAAGTTCAAATGTTGTGTCTCTTCTTAAAAGTAAAAGTGTGGGGTGCAGTGGTTCCTTGGTGTTTTTCTCCACGGCTGCACTTCACACAATCATCAAGCACTTGCCAACCAATCTGTGCCCTTTTCTCATGCAGTATAAATTGAATTTTGACATCCTTGAGTTTAGCCTGTTGAGTGCAAGATGAGAATCTTTGACAACGTGACATTTTTACCATCAGCAAAAGTTAAGCTCTGTACTACCAAGCAACTGTTTAATTTATTTGACTTAGAACAAAGAACAAAACAGCACAGAAACAGGCCCTTCAGCCCTCCAAGCCTGCGCCGACATATTTTGCCCTTCCAAACCAAAGCTGTCTTCACTTACAGGATCTGTATCCCTCTATTCACTTCCTGTTCGTGTATTCGTCCAGGTGCTTCTTGAATGCTGCTATGGTGTCTGCTTCCAGCACCATCTCTGGCAGCACGTTCCAGGCACTCACCACCATTTGTGTGAAAAACCTACTTCGCACATCTCTCTTTTAAACTAACCCCGACCTGCACTTTGAACCTGTGTCCCCTAGTGATTGACCCCTCCACCCTGGGAAAAAGCCTCATACTTTCCGTGCTATTCCCAATCTCAAAAACTTCTGTCAGGTCACCCCTCAACCTCCTGCCTTCCAGTAAAAACAAACCCAGTCTATCCAGTCTTGCTTCATAGCTAAAATATCCCCATACCAGGCAACATCCTGGTAAACCTTTTCTGTACCCTCTCCAAAGCATCCACATCCTTCTGGTAGTGTGGTGACCAGAACTGTATGCAGTATTCCAAGTGTGGCCTAACTAAAGTTCTATAAAGCTGCAGCATAACTTATCTATCCTAATACTCAGTGCCTTTTCCAATGAATGCAAGCATGCCGTAAGCCTTTTTCACTCCATTATCTGCCTGCACTGCCACTTCAGTGATCTGTGAACCTGCACACCCAGATCCCTCTACATTTCAATATTCCTAAGGGTTCTGCTGTTCATTGTATAATTTCCACCTGTATTTGACCTTCCAAAATGCACTTTTAAGAACCTAAATTATTAAAATTTATAGTCTTTTCACAGATCTTTTTCACCATTATTTCTGAACACACGGTCCAGGGTCAGACAGTGAAAGTGCCGATATATTGCTTGTTCTGGATTTCTGATAGGTTGCAGTGTGGTGGAGATTAATTCTTGATGATGAGTGCAGACTGTGTGGTGAGTTAATTTATTTGCATGCTGCTATTATTGAGAAGCATATTGAGCGGCTGAGTTTTATCCAGGAGTAAATAATGGGTTCAGGAGTTTATTTTTACAAATGATCGAGGCTGTCAGAAATTATTTGTCAGCTGCTTCATTATATTAAAGTAATACCTCAGTCATTCCTCGCCTGTAACCCCACATATTTTCCACCCTATGCTTTATTCATGCCTGTTACCAATTAAGCTGTTCTTTAAATAATTGAGTAGGTGTTTGCTCACCAGAACAATAGGATGAAACACAGCCAGTCTTTGGGCCAGAAGAGTGAAGGGTTCCTGTTCCAGTGTTTTGTTAAACCAAAAATTCAGTCTGGGTTGTATTAACTAAATCATGTTTGACAGGGAAGGGGCTTTTTCAGAAATGCAGGGTGGCTGGGTCTAGAATTGAGAATTATTTTTTGAGCTCAAGCTTTCATCAGTTATTTATAGAGTACAACCTTGTTTGCTGCGCACCTTGACTTATCCAATTATGGAACCTAAGTTTAACCCGCTGAGGTCTGCCTTATGTTCAATTTGTATCTCTTCACCCATTTGGAAGGAAATATCTTTAGAAATGCAGGTTTTAAGTTACAAGACTTCAGGATTCAACCCCCTGAGCGACATTAGCAACTCTTGTTCACGTCGCTCAGCTAATGTAGCAAAACGTCCCAAGGCACCCCACAAGTGTGTCATCAGACAAAACACGTCCCTGAGCCACCGATGATGTTATTTGGACAGGTGACCAAAAGCTTGGTCAAAGGGGAAGGTTTTAAGCTCCAAATTCGGGTAGAAGAGGTAGCCAGAGAAGGTTAGGACCCAGACGGGCAAAGATACAATCATCAATAGTACAGGAACGAAAAAGGGTCAGAATTGGAGGCATGCAGAGATCTCAGAAGTTTTTAGGGCTGACAGAGGGAGGAGGGTGATGCTACAACACTGTACTAGACCAAAATAAATGGAGCTAGGTTTGAGGTGAGTGGTTGAGAAGTGTTGCTGACATTGGGATTACAAGTGCAAGGTTTGATGACCACTCTGATTTATCTGGGGAAAGCCAAACCCAGTTATGGAAAAAATAAATTGGCTTAATAATTATTTTTCATTTTCAATCAGCTTCAAGCTGTCACTCTGTGGGTACCTCTCCACCCACCCTGGGCTCAGAAAATTGTGTTTCAAGCTTCACCCCAGAGAGTCCAGCACATAATGCATTGACGCTGCTGGTGGGGTACTGAGGGAGAGTTGCACAGTCAGGTGTGCTGTCTTTCAGGTGAGGCTTTAAGCTAAGGTCTCACAGGGCAACTCAATTGGAGATGACAGAATCTCACAGCCACTATTTTGAAGAAGAAGTGCCTTCCTCCTGGTGTTGTGGGCAATATTCATATCTCAAATAGATTACCTGGTTGTTATCACATCACAGTTTGTAAGGGCTTTAGTGTGTTGAAATTGACTGCTGCATTTCTCCATTACGGCAGTAACCATGCTGTTAAAAAGCATTTGATCCATTTAAAGTGCTTTACAGTGCTCTGGGGTCATGAAAGATGTTATATAAATGTAAGTCTTTCCTTTGTATTTAAAAGTACAGATCTGTGAGGGAAAGAATATTGCGGAGCATTGATAAAACACAAACATTTGCAGACCACAGCTGTTAACTCCTGTGGTTGCATTGCCTAGGATGCTGAAGCTTTGCTCACATACATAAGCACAAGATAGTTTGCTGGCAACTGCACCTTATAAGTGAGGATTGGATACATACTTGAAGTTGGTAGTGCAAGGATAGGTGGTAGAAGGTGTGGAACACTGGGATTACTTTCTGATTGCTCCAGAAAAAGCATTGGTATTGGCAGGATGGGCTGAACGACCACATGTGCTGTAAATTGTTTGTAGGTTTTCATAAAATGACGTCTAAAGCTTCCAGTTCACATTAAAATCGAGCCCATTCTTAAAGCAAAATAGAGTGCGTGTTCAGCCTGAAAATAGCAACTCAAATGTCGTCGTCATTATCATTCAGGTGACTACATCTAATCCATGCTGAAATTCCATCTGATGGAAATTGCTTGTCAGTTCACACACTGCACAGGGATGGGAAGTCAGTGCAGGGTTAAAACTTGACAGGCAATGGGTTATCCCATTACAAGTCACGCTAGCTCAAGGTTCTAAATGTACTATGATACCAGATCGTTGTCTGCCGAACCCCGCACAGGATATTGACGATTGACAGGGGATTGAGAGCCGCAGCAGGAGACCAGACAGAAAGGGGCTTTGACTGTAACCTGAATGGAAAACTTCTGGGTCTTTCCAGTAGATTATCGGGATGAAGAGGTTTGTCAGAATTGGAGGAGCCTGAGCATCAGTTTGTAGCAGACTTGAGATGCTTACAGTCTGAGGATTTTTAGTTTCTTTCCCCTGTTTTGAGATTTATTACAATTAAGGACTCGAGCAGTAACTGAGCAATTTTTAATAATATTTCCGTTCACAAATATTATCGATGAAACAAGCGCATTGCTCTTAGAAGATCAAATCCATTTGCAAAGTACTGTCTTTTTCATGATCGTAATTGGAAAATCCTGAAGCAAGCAATTGCTAAAATTTGTCCAAGTTGTTTCTATTTTCAAGTTGTACAAATTTTCAGCTGACTTTTGTGTTTATCCCCATTGTGTATTCTAACAGGAGTCATTTCTGTGATCTCAGGACTTTGATGATTTCTTCCCACTGTGTTTTAGGCACCAGCAGGGAATCTCCGCCTGGAGTTATTAGAGTGGCTGTGGTATGAGTGAAGTTTTGTAAATGTGTTTTCTCTTTCTATCTCCTCCCTCTTCCTCACCCATATTCAGCAGTCAGCCTCACCTGGTTCCTCTTCCCCCCGAGGCGCAGAATCAGCAATGATGCAGCATCGATCCGATATACATGATGCAGCAGAAACATCAGCGAACCAAGAGGTACACACTGCACTTAGCAGCCTTGAATTTACATTACAACCAATGCCTTGTGGTTACCTTTCCCTCACCCCTGAAACCTCAAGCTATGCTGTTCACCTGTGAAGATTTTATTTCGCCAGAAAAGTTGTTCACGGTTCTCTTTTGCTGGGTATGTCCCTCTCCTTTAAATCTGCTGTCATCATCCCTCTCCTCCAAGTGAATGCATCTCCAACTCCCCTTCCTCTCAATAGACCGTGATCATCCTGTCATCTCCCAGATCCATGCCCTTCATTCCTGGAACTCCGTGTTTGAATCCCTCTAATCAGCTTCCCACCTCGTCACAGTACCAAGACGGTTCTTGTCAAAGCCGTAAGTGGGAACCAATATGATTGCGCCAAAGGCAGACTTGCTCTCGAGCTGTCTACAGCCACACCCTCCTCATCAATGCCTTTCCACTCTCGTCCATCTACTCTCACTGGCTCTATTTTTATCTGTCAACTCATAGCCAGAGAATTACTGACAATCACTTCTCTTCCCACTGTAACTTATGCTGTCCTCTAAGGAGCTTTTTTTTCCCGCACTTCTATTTCTCATTCTTACTGTTCAGAAATGCAGCCTCAATTTCATATCCTCCCTGGTGACATCCAGCTTTACTTCACCACCATCTCCTTTGTTACCATCACTGTTGCTAAATTATCTGGGTGTTTGACCGACATCCAGAGCTAGACACTTCCTTCAACTAAATATTGGGAAAACTGAAGCTGTTGACTTCAGTTCCTCCCACAAACTCCATTCATTAGCTGCTGACCACAACCTTCTCCAAAGCAACTACCTGAGACTGTATTACATCATTTGCAACTTTCGTGTCATAACTGAGCTGCAATTCAGATCACGTATCTACTTCATCACCAGTCCTTGTGTACCCACAATCGTAACATTGCCTGGTTGTGTTCCGGGCCCAGCTCCAGCTCATTCCCTTCTGAAGTCCTCTCCTTGCCTTTGTTAAAAGAATAGAATCCTTAGAATCTCTATAGTGTGGAAACAGGCCATTCGGCCCATCAAGTCCACACCGACCCTTTGGAGAGCATCCCACCCAGACCCATCCCTCTACCCTGCATTTCCCATAACTAACGCACCTATTTTGCACATACCTGGACACTATAGGCAATTTCCCCTGGCTAATCGACCCAACCATCGCATCTTTGGACTGTGGGAGGGAACCGGAGCACCTGGAGGAAACCCATGGCGATACAGGGAGAACGTACAGACTGCACACAGACTATTGCCGGAGGCCAGAATCGAACCTGGGTCCTTGGCACTGTGAGACAGCAGTGCTAAGCACTGAGCCACTGTGCCACCCTATTTTATTTTGAGACTCGCCTTTTCCAATGTTCTCTCTGCTGACCTCCCATTTTCCAGCCTTCATCAGCTAAAGCATATCCTGAACTTTGCACCCTATGTCCTTACTCGCACCAAGTCTGTGCAGCCATTGCCCTTGTGTTCGCTGATCAACACTGTTTCCCAATCCAGCAACATCTTAAGTCATTGCTGCATGGCATGACCCTCCCTATCTACATCTGTCAGCTTCTCTTGCCGTACAGTTCCCAGAGAAATGTCATCCTTTCATGCTAGCCCTTTGAGCAACTCTGATTTTAATTGTTTCAGCATAAGTGCCCATGCCTTCAGCTGCTTTGACCCAAAGCTCTTGAATACTCTCCCATCCTCTCATTCTCTACCTCTGTTCCATGTTTCAAGGCCCTCTGTAAAATTTACCTCCTTTCGTCACCGCATTAATGTCTCATTTAGGGGGGCGCTGTCAGATTTTGTCTGATGATTGCTCCTATGAAGTGGCTTGAGGCATTTTGTACAAGTGAAGATCCCATAAAAACACAAGTTACTGTTGTTGCAGTATCTTCAAAAAGGTGCCTGTCTGACACACTAACTGCGCTTGAAGCAATCTCTTAGGAATTGACTAAATGAAGTAAATTTCTCTTTTCAGTATAGGTGCAAAGGTATTGTCTTTGGCATTTGGGACCAAACTTTGTGACAATGTGGAATGTTTGGTTACTACGTGTGATAATCAAGTTACGTTTTAAAAGCCAGGGGAGCAATGTGAGGACAGCAACCAGAATTGTAACTGCTGCTGGTGTGCCATTATATAACTTTGCTAACTATTTTTCTTTCCCCCACAATTTACCCTCGCCCGCTCCTCTTCTGAAGGAATTGTCTCCCCTATTGGAGTCCTCTTTCATGGCAAGTAATCACACACAGTGCCCATTTTATTCAGTAAGTGAATCTCCTCAAGATGTGCCAGCGAGCTAATCAGTGGTGGAGGATGCTAATAAGCCTGGTCTATTCCTCTTCTCTCGCCTTTCCTCACTAAAATGTGCATGCACACACGAGTGTACATTCACATTCTCGCACGCATTCACAGTTTATGATAGCGGTGGGTTTCTGGGCAGCTCTCAAGACCAAGACCACTTGTGCTCTTTTTAATTTTCAAATAGTTTGCTTGGTAGTACAGAACATAAGTTTGCTTGAAAAAAGAGACATGGTATCAAAGCTTTTCAACCAGCCCTCCTCTGGACATATGCAAGAATGCCAAATTTTGAAGCAAACAACAATATATACTGCATGAGAACATGGCTACTGATTGGTTGGTTGAGTTGACTCTGATTGGTCGAGGCATTGCCATGGAAAATGCACCAAGGAATGTTTGCTCCCCAGCTTTTGCTTAATTCAATTCAATACAGGCACAATGTCAGCACATAATTAATTTCCCTATAAAGAACAGGCCCCTATATATGATGTAGCTTTTTGTAAGCGTAGGTGAATTACGAGCACAACTGATAATCAGCACCCCTTTTTATCATACAGAAGACGTTGTTGCACTGTGACTGTCCTGATGAGTGCAAAACGAAAAGCTTTGACTTCATCTCTCCCTCTTTTTAGTTCTCCTTTCTAAACTCGGCCTGCAGTGTCAATCCCTGACTTTTGCTGGGCTAAGATCAGCTGGCTAAGGATAAGCCAAGTGTCAGACTCCTGGCCCATTCATCTGTAGGCTGTTGAGGAAGTCCACATTACTTTCCTGATGCTGCAGGACCCCATTGTTGCTTTCCAATTTTGCCAGCGCATTTGGGCCAATAGTTTGCAGACAAAGTTTATTAATAGTAATCTGAAAGACAGATGTGTAGAATCGTCCATACACAAAGGAAAACAAAAGACAGAAAAAAAAATCTAACTATTGCATCAAGCCAGTCCATGCGCACCATAAAGGACAGAGCATCGTGACTGGATTCTTAGACCCCATCACCCCACAGCCATGGATTATCCTCAGGCTACAATCCAAAGGCCAATAAGCCACTATTCCTCTGCATTTCCCTTAGACTGACAAGACCTGCCTAGGCAACATGACCCAAGTGTCAATGAGAAAGACACTCACACGATAGAATCTCTGCTCCAATTCCAATCTAGAACCAGCCCATCTGTTGAGGGCATGTGTTAAAAACTTGCTTGTTGTCTGTGGTTTGGACCGTTGCTATCCTTAAATTAAAGCGATTTCTGTTCGCTTTGAAACGAGTCACTCCTCCAAAGGGAGCAGTCGATGTTTCTTGTGAACTTTAGGAATTTGTTTGAGTGATTTTCTGATTTGTTTTCTTTCTGATAATTTGCATGCCTGCTTCTAAAATGCAAAATTCAAGTCACTGGAAACGTTATACTGACCATAAAAAATGGGGGAAGTAGAGGAATTGTAAGTGGTGTGGGTGGTGTACCTAAACTTTAGTGTATGCCGACCTGAATCCTATTGTGTTAAAAGTGTAACATCTATTTAACACTATTTTCTCCTTTTTTATTTAATCATTGCCTTCTCTAATTAAGGCTCAGGTAATTATTTTATACTTGTTTTGTATTGGATTTCTTCAAGCCTTTTGTACATATTCTTTCATCTTATGAATTTGTTTGATTATTTGCTCAGTGGGTTGAGGGATATTGTGTAGAGTTCTGTCTGGACAGTTTCCACAGGTATAATTCTCCTGCCATAGCTCAAAATATGAAGTACTGCAAATGTAAACTGTGATTAGTTTGATTGATCCACATAATAATGGAAATGGTACCTTATTCTGCACATTCTGTCAGATTGTCAATTGAAAACTCAGTTGGTTTCATTGATGTCTCTTTGGGAAAGGAAATCTGCCACTTTTGTCCAATTTGCTCTGCATGTGATTCCAGCCCTACTCCAGCCTGGTTGATTGACACTTCACTACCCTCTGAAGTAGTCCCTGTAGCCCCTCAATTGCAGTAAAGTCTGGTAACTAGAGATGGGCACTAAATGCCAGCCTTTCCAATGAGACCCAGGCCTCTGAAACTAAATCAATGTCCCATGTCTAAAATTGTACATTGTAGAATCTGATGAACACAATTTTTCACATCCATCTTGCTGATCGCTGACAGCCGAGTAGGATTTTATTTTTGAAAAGGGTGCCACCTCAAGTATTGTCTGATCAACTCCATCAATTTAATCAGCTCAGCCTTGGGTCAGAATTATTTTCAAAGACCTTCAGTTCAATCTGCTCCTCAAACCTTGAAGCTGCATCCTCGTCAATTCTTCCTGAGAGGCGAAAGACGTGCCTAGAATATTACAAATATCTGCAATAAATCATCTTTGGTTTAACGGATAACAGGTTTCAATCTCTATAAAGAAATCTATCCCCATTCTACTAATGCACAAAGAGTGAATCATTAAGGGTTGTCAGTTAAACTGACTAGGAGACCATTTGCCTATTGTGTTTGTACAGTTCTGGTTTCAATGAAGTATCATTTTAATCTCATTTTCCCTGTTTTTTCCCTCTTCCCTTTTTTTTGGAATTTTTTTGGTTATTGAGACAGAGTTGGCCACATTTGATGCGCTAAGTCTCTTATTCTAACGATCCTTTGTGGGGAAAATAAATATTTTAAGCTCTTCCTTGAAACTTCAAGCATGAATCCTAAATTCAGAGCCCCCTGTTGACAACTTAACAAGTGGCTTACAAAGATGTATTTGCTGAAATCTTAGACCTCATTGTTACTCTCTCACATTGGAAAACATACCACTTTGGAGTACAATGAGATAACACAGTGTAGTGCTGGATGAACACAGCAGGCCAAGCAGCATCAGAAGAGCAGGAAAGCTGATGTTTCGGGTCTGGACCCTTCTTCCCCATGGAGTACAGTTGTGTGATTTGTCCCTGCTACTTTCCTAAAATTTATCAAAATGTGCATAATTCCGGGCATCACATTTTGAAGAGCATGTTAAGGCTTCGAAGAGAAGTTTCACCAGGATTATACCTGGTATGAGGCACTTCAGTGATTAAAATTAGGGTTAGGTTTTGTACAAGTACAGGGATACAGGAGTACAGTGAAAAGTTTACCATGTTGCCATTCCCAGCACCATTTTAGGTACAAAATCTGAAGTAAAGAATAAAAAAAAAGAAATAAGTTAAAAGTTCAACATTACAGTTCTTGTCAGTATAAAGTAGCAAGTGAGAAATCAAGTTAAAAGTTCCAAATTACAGTCCATCTTTAGCCATGGGCCTGCAAGTCTCTCCACGCTGGGCTTTCCCCATGAGAGCTCGATCTCTCTCCCGTGCTGGGCTTGATCTCAAGCCCTGCACCTCTGTGCAACTACCAACTACTATCTGGGCTCACCAGCTGCCTTGCCACAGGCTGCCAGTGTCTTGCCCCGGTGCCGTCCCAGTCCCCAGCTGCTTCCACCATGCCGGCGAATGCCAGAGTCTTCCTGGGCACACCACCCGCCTCGTGGTCAACCAGCAATGCCCCCCCCCCGGCCAGGTCACCAGCCGCTGCCGTTGCCAGCCCTGCCTCCATTACTGAGCTCCCTCCAGAAGATCAGTAGAGAGAAACAAAACTCGGGGGGATAAAAACGTAAAGAAAGAAAAAGCGAGAAAAGAAGAAAGAAAAGTGGTTGGATGGACAAGCTCCAGCTCGGTGGAGAGACTGGAGAAGCTGGCTGTGTTGTCCTGACAGCAAGGAAGGCTAAGGAGACATTTTGTTGAGCTGCTCAGAATAGAGGTGTTTTGATAGAACAGTTTTTGGAGAGCCTGCTTCCTCTGGCAAATTAATTGGTAGCCAGAGGCGGTAGCTTTAAAATAGTTGGCAGAAAAAAAACCTGAGGGAAAACGAAGATACTTTTCTTCACCCAGAAGGTTATGACCTGGAACGTACTGCCTGAAAGAGTGGTGGAATTAGGTCCCATACATACACTGAAAGAAGATCAATTTGCAGGGACACTGGACAGAACAGAACGGAACAGGCTTTTCAAAGGGCCAGCAGATGCCAGTGGGCCAAATGGTGGCCCCCTTGTCTGTAAGATTCTAAGTTCTCCTGTGGGTAAAAATACACTGTCATCTTGTTGTTTTGGCATCAATGCACAAAGAAAGTTGGAACCGACAGCTAGAATGGGCAACTGGATGCGGATTCAATACACAGACATGACACTTAGAATATCTTTACCCATTTAACTTGATAGCTGTAAAAAACAGTTTGGGAAGACAGGGACAGGAGGAGGCCATTTAGTACTCAAGCTGTTCTGCTATTCATTGAACTCATGGCTGGTTTAAAGTCTAGAGCAGAGAAGGCTGGGTGGAGTTTGGATTGAGGAGTTTGAAATCGTGAAATGTTTAGAAACGGGAAGTAAACTGGTACAATTTCCAATGGCTGAAAAGCAGTAACGAAAGAGTAGGGTGTTATGTTGATTGGTGAGTGGAGGTGAAGGATATCAGTTTGATGATAAACCTCTGTGGGGAATTGGATAAAAGATGGAAAGGGAACACAATTGCAGGAATATGAGGATTGGAGTAAGGAAGTGGGGCCTGAAAGGATTCCTTTTCAAAGCAGCCAGCAAACTCTCAATGGCTGAATGGCTCCTGAGTAGTATCAATGTATGATTCTGTCATGGATTCCCTACAGTCTGGAAGCAGGCCATTTGTCCTACTGAGTCCACACAGACCCACCCCCACTACCCTGTCACCCTGCATTTTCTATGGTTAATCCATCTAGCCTGCACACTTTGGGCAATTTAGCACAGCCAATCCACTTAACCTGCACCACACAGACAGTTGCCTGAAGCTGGAATTGAACCTGTGACCCTAGCACTGTGAGGCAGCAGTGCTAACCACTGAGCCGCTGTGCAGCCCCAGTTGAACAGATTGTACATTTTAAGATATCATACCAATAAATATAATTGAATGCTTCAATAATGCATTAGGTAAATAAACATACATGAAAAA